CTGGCTTGATCATGGGCCTATTTTTCTGTTTACAGGGCATGGGTGGCAGAGAAGAGTTGTTTGGATTCTGGCTTGATTATGACTTCGGCAAGGGAACTGTGGCTCCCACCTGTACCACTTTCCGTAGCCCTCCCCTCTCCCCCCACCAAGAGCTAGAAATTCAAGGGATCGAAGTGTGGGCTGTTGGTCCAGAGGAGGAAGATTCGGATGAAGTGAGTAGTTGGGAGTGTTAATCCAAAGTCTGCAGGAAAATGATGTTTCACTGTAGTATTATTATGTGAAATTTCTCTGCACATAGATGGCTCTGCCAGTGCTTAACCACAAAGGAGGCAATTAGTAGACCTTGTGATGCCACCCAATTTCACCTTTCCATGAGTTTGTGTTAAGGATACTTTTTATGCTAATGCTATCAATATCGATGCTGTTACATTATGATTATTATAGGGTTATTTCCATTACTAACAACAATATAAGATATGCATAAATATTTTAGAGAATCAAGGAAAAGGGTAAACAGGTGAGACAGGTGGTACTCGTAACTGACTTATTATTGGTGACTTGGAAACGTAGAGATAAGATAAATGTGTAAAAACAAAAAAATTATTTAAACTCACAGTGGGCATGGCATGGATGTACATGCCAGCCCCAGTGGTTGTGGGTTAAGTTCCATAGAAGTGCATTTCACCTATGATTCTGAGATGCTAAGAATGTATTTTTTGTTAATTCATGGAAAATATCACTGTGCCCCCACAAAATTTAATTATTTCATGTGAAATAACACCATAAAAATGTTTATATATAAGCATAGATATATAGATATAGGTATATATAGATATATAGATATACATAGGTGAATTTATACAGCTATATCTTAATACATATATTTCTTAGGCATGATTGAAAGTTATTTTGATATTATCATTTGTAAATTGTTTTTTTTTTCTTTCTCTCAAACCCAAGTGCATCACAATTAACAAAAACCATATAACCTCACACCATAATTCTTTTCCCAAACCACAGGAGGGAACTCGGCAAAGGAGTGCACTGGACAAGAACCCAGATGCACAGGCTCTTCTGGACATGATTGGCAAGACTCGAGTCAGTGAAGGATTGCGAGAAGCTGAAGAGAGTGACTAAGACCTTTCCCTTGGCCAGAGGCATTTAGAACAGGTGTTGACTAGGTACAAATAGCTTGAATGTCACAGTACTAAGGATAGATGTTTATCTAGTAGATATATTTTGTTGTGTAGGAAGTAGTGGAATTTGTGTTCGCATTTTTTGCAGTAGGCAGTCGTGGAGAAATATGACTGATGGTAGCTTAATGTTTTGTTCATACTGTCCAGTAAAAACCTGACTGTGCAAGGGAAGAAAGCTGTAGAACTCTTTAAGATCTTGAAGAACTTGTTGATTTTTTCCTCATCACTCTGGTGTTTCATTTCAGAGGAAAGGTGTTCTTCGGGATCATTACAGCACCGTTATTTGTAATCATTTGTTTTAAAAGTTGATGCCACAAAATTTTGTATGTGATGTGTGTAATGCTGTTTGTGTGCCATGTGATGTGTAGAAAGGTATATTTGTAGGAACTTTGATAGAAGGGAGAATAGTAGAAAGCAATCATTTTTTATTATTGATTTGTTAATTTTTTACATTTTTTTAAAGCTGACATCTTGAAATTAATTACTGGACCATGGACTTCCATGTGTAGGCTAATGAAAATTAACTGCAGAATCTGTAGACTAGAGGAACGGAAAACTCCTGCTTTATTAGATGGTGAGATCGTGTGATTTTTTTCCGTAAGTGTAAACAAAATGTTTGATATATACATTAGAGATGCACATTCCAACATGGCCTGATAATCTGCCTTTGAACAATATTCTGCATTTCCTAACACAGAAGATGGTACAGGTGATATGATTACTGCCTTTATGTAACCTGTAGACTATGATGGTTGTTTTCTCACGATGTGCAGTGTACAGTCCTTGCCACTTTTTGAGTCTTGTGAAATGCCAACAAATATGCATATATATCAGATGAATGGAAGTCTTTAGCTACATGCCACTACAATGTTTTCACTTGGCTTTATAGGATTACAGAGTAAAAGTTAACAGAACTCTGAAACCTGCTGAGACATGGCTGTGTTGTGTTGACAGTTATGGATATTTGCCTTATGTCCCTATATCCAACATAACGTTCTTGTGTTTTATTTTGCTATATTAAACATAATATATATCCACTTATCCTTGCCTATATACATATTTCGAGAATTTGTTAGTCTTTTTCATATTTTTATGATCCTATTTTTCTCATATTGCCTACTTCATAAGTTTGATATTTACTATTTATATATAAGAAATCATGAGAGAATTGAACAGCCCTTGCAGTTTACAGGTTTTGTAGGTATATTTTAAAAACTTGTCAGTACTAATGTAATTGTGAGTCAAGCAGGTATAACAGTGTACAGACTTAATATCATTGAAGTGTACAGAATTGATATCAGCATAGTGTACAGAACTGATATTGTTGAAGAGCATAAAACCATGCTTGAGTTCTCATAATTCACCCTGTTTGATATTGCAAATTCTGTTGAACTTCTCTTGTGTACATGCCCTTTAGGTGCTAAGACACAGGGTAATTGACAGCAGTGCATTTTCTTCTTTGGGAAAAAAATGGTATCATAATAGGTACTTAATACAGCAACCTGGGGCCACCTGAAACTAAATAGGCTATACTTTTAAAAGATACAAATTTTGCCTTTGCCATTGTGTTTCAAAGTGATCAGCTGTTCTTCCAAGATATTTTGATGGGCCAGTGTTATTTTTTTTATGTATTTATTTTGGTCATGAAAATGCATTTGTGGTACAGTTGTGCTGTGAGTGTGAAGCCAAATAGGTTGTGAGTTTAATTTATTTTTGATATTGTAATTACATACAGTTTGAAAAATAATATTCATAGTAATGTTTAGGTGTACTTAGCAGTGCAGTTGATATATATGGATATTTGTTTTGTTGGTTTAATTCTTTGTAATAATACTTATAATTGTAAAGATATAACCTGCCTTGCAGTGTAGTACATTTGAAGGCCCATTCTGTTTTTTCCATTCATTCTTTGCTGTTGCTAAGTGAACTGGTAACTTCTTGCCCATAGCATAACTGCTTTTAGGTGTACATTGTACAAATAAGGAAAAGTTACTATTAAGAGTGCAATAGTTTATATATATTTTCAGAGACTCATTCATACCAGAGTTTGAGAATCATTCTATTTTATTCTCTTCTTATCTTTTTGTAATGTAGATAATCTTTTGACATAAAGTATACTAAATAACAAGAAATCATGAGGGTAATGTTGCAGGTATCTTTCTGCTTCTTGTGTATGATAACTTTCCTGTCTCCTGTGTCTCCAGTTTTCCTATCCTCACAGAGTACATTTACTCATGAGGGGTCTCTTGGTTTATATCTTAACCTCTTCAGTGGAGCTTTATGTCTGGCACCTTCTCAATTTTAAGTCTGAGACTCGGTGGTCTTGACGGTTTAAACATTACCTGCGTTAATGAGTAGATGTATTATATTGCAATAATTACAGAATTTTCAGTAGATTGATTGTTATATTCAGATCAGTTTAAAAACAATCAGTTTAAATCAGCACAAATTGCCCACGAAAAGGCATCTGACCAATTTGGTTTGACTTGTGACAATACAACATCTGGAGTAGAGCAAATGAAATTCTGGTGCACAGATGAAGAAAGTTTAGATTGATATTAATGAACTAATAGGTGTGGTGTTTCAAGCTTGTCTTGAATATTTTGTCTTATTACAGGTATATACAGGTAAACACTGATAAGCTGTGTTCTTTATCAGGTATCAAGTAGCTCTTATGCATGTTATAGGAGAACCTGAAGTATTTGGCTATAATAGTTTTTGTTTATGATAAAGCATAAGGATAGAGTGCTGGTTTAGACTCGGTGGCCGGGTGCAGTAGGAAATAGGCCTTTGTGTTCGTTTCAAAAGCACTTCAAGTAGGAACCTTGTGTCCAGATCTGAAACATTGTAGCTAGCCAGGTATACTGTAAGCACCATTTCTGTTTGCTCTAGACCAAATGCCACGAGGTAGTGGATGTCAAGCTGCATAAACTACCAGTGGAACTAATAAAGATATTAAAAAAAGTCTTTCTCACAATCAAAACAAATGCTGGAAATCTAGTCTGACTTGTAAGGAAGTAAGAGGACCAGAGTAGCCATGTGAAGATTTATTTCTGGTCTGTTGTTAATTATTTTATGTAAAAATTGAATGTAATTCACACATGAATACACTTCGCTATCACATACATCTCCGCACATATCCAAGCACCCATCTGCCACTTGCACACACTAACACACACGCACACGCACACGTACAAGCACACGCGCATGTACACGCATGCACACGTGCACATGCACACGCGCATGCACATGCACACGAGCATGCACATGCACATGCGCATGCACATGCACATGCACATGCGCATGCACATGCACCATGCGCATGCACACTCATGCATGCACACTCACATGCGCATGCACACTCACATGCACATGCACACTCACATGCACATGCACACTCACATGCACACGCACATGCACATAATCACACACATGCACTCTACAGGCACTCTAACACACTTAAACATACAGATACACAACACAATACAGACTTACACGTACACATGCTCATCCTTGTATACATACACAGACGCACACAAACATACACAACACACAGACACACACACTACACACAGCCATTCATACATATACAATATATATAATGTATGCATGTTGATATGTATATGCATATGTTTTGAATGTAAATAGTTTTAATAATTAATAAACAGTTTTGTTTACATTTGTTTTCCTTGTCCCTAAGATTATCAGTTATATTAGAATTATCACTTTCAATGTATGGCAATGTACATTTTCCTATATTTGTTTTTTATGAAGTTACATCAAACAAGTTAATCTACACAATTA